AGACTAACAGCGCAAAGGCACGTTTGTCTCTCTCCCATTCTCACGATACCCCTCCGGCACCTCCAATCTACTCAACTACTCATGGTACCGACTCCGACAATTTGGTTTCGAATACCTGTCTCTCCTCCAGTGGAAACTTAAGTCTATGCCCAACTGGACAACACGGCCCAAGTGGAAGATCGCCCGGAGCAAGATTGCGCCTACAGCGAAGAACATGTACATAGAGATGCTCGGGGCTTTTGCAGCCGGTGATAAGGCCGCTGTCAACGAGCTATGTCTGGGCCAGTTTGGAAAGAAGCTCATCGCCGCTATCGATCGTCGAAACCCCGCTGAGCGTGTCACATTTGAGTTGGTCAAGCTCAATTCGACATGGGCGTACCCTCGCGTGATGGCACACCAGGTCCACAACGTGAACCCTCACGATAAGGAGCACAGCACAGAGCAGGCCGTTGTTGCAATTGCCTCAACACAAAAGGTAGCGAAATATAAGAAGGCCACTGGCGAGCTCATCCCTGGAAGCACAAAGGTGCAGGACAAGATAGAATACGTGGTGGTCTCACGACAGATCAGCGAGAAGACATTCCAGTCTGGCCAATGGCGCATATGGGGAACCATTTCTCCAACAACTCTAGAGGCGTTCCAGGAGGAGCAGGATTGGATCACCAGGGAACAGGCCAAACGAGCTGGATGGGAAGGGCCTCTGAAATAAAAATAAAAAGGTGCAAAATTGTATAAATACGCTGGAATGCTCATGATGTTAGTGAGCAGAGGATGAGGAGGAGGGAACATGTAAAATGAGAGTGTATATTGTACGATGAGCATGTTTTGTACTATATTCTACAATACCTTTGCATTGAGACTGGCGAACGGACAATTATCAAGGACTTCTCCATTTCAGTTCAGAGATCAATTGCTGATATTTGTGATGGTGCAACTGAGGAGCATGCTTGAAGATTCAGATGCTAAATGTGACATTGAAGAGAGTATCATTGAAGAGGCGTATGAGAACAGATCAACTGATCTGATGTTAATGTTGTGTAGATATTTCTGCTGGATTATGAATGACCGAGGATGCCACTATAGTAGGCTGTGACTGTGGTATTCCTGGCATGTTATTACATAAACTGAGTGGTCACTAGGGAAATGAGTGGCCTGTCCTAGGTCTGTTTTTATCGAGACAAAATAAATGATTAAGCTGGCAGACATAGTAATTCTCATGCTATGCAAGTTCTAAGCTAGTGCTGCAGGTCTGTAAAAAGGTTATAGCATGGGAACTACCGAGTTGAACAATTAGGTTTAGGCTGAAATACTGCTGTAAATCCTCTTGATTAACCTATCGATTACTTTTTGCCAAACTATCCAACTGCAAAACCGATCTTATCTCAACCCCCAAACTAATTGCCAAACTTTTTTGATAGAACAGAATCCAAAGGCATCTGTTTAGTGTCCCCTTTAAAAGAACTTGCCCGGGGTCGAAGAAACGAGGTTCTCAGTGGGAACATCCTCCTCGGTGCTCGAACGGCGAAGGTCCACGGGACGATCAAGAGCATCAAAGCGATGTCCTCGGATCTTAGCAGACATGTACTGGTAAGAAAGACGGAGGGCGAGAGCACCACAGCCCCAGAGAAGACTTCCAACAGGAGCAGCAACGAAAGCGCCAAAGGCACTCCAGTCATTGCCGTAGAGACCCTTCTGCACAAGAAGAAGCTCACCGGCCTCCTGAGCGTTACCGTAGTAGACGCATCCAAAGATGAAGACAGTGAGGATACCACCAAGACCACCAACAACCACCTCAAATCCACGCCACCAGTAGAACTTATCGACGAGACCAACCACCAGGACGGGAATTGTAGCGGCGGAAATGAGATCGGTGATGAGCCAAATCTGAAGAACGGAGGGGGCCTTGAGAGCGATGACGATGGTGGGGATGATGATGAGGACGACAAAGGCACGGATGTACCAGATGTTGAGCCTGTTGCGGAAGAGATCGTTGGATCCGGAAGAGACCATGGCAGACTGGAGACTGTCAAAGGCAGCTGTGCTCATGGTGACGACCATGACGAGCACAATGCCAACAACCCAGGTGGGAAGAGTATCGAGGAGGATGAAGAAGGCCACTGACCCAGAACCAGCAGCGTCCTCGAGAGACAGAGCTCCGGACCAAACCGCGATGAGACCGGTGGAACCAACGAGAGTGAGGATGCACAGAATGACGATAGTGGCGATCGTAGTGCCGATTCGGAGATCTTTGTCAGTCTTGGAGGCAAAGGTTCGCAGCCAGAAGGAGGAGAGGAAGAAGTCGTTAGTCAAGACAGCAACGGGTAGGATGTACAGAAGCTGCCAGCCGAGGAGGTTAGACTTGGTGAGACCGGATTCCTCAATGAGAGGCCGCTGAATCTCGGTCTTCGCGCCAATGGTGATGGCGGCGATAATGACGAGACCGATGACCATGGCACCCTGGGCAACATCGGTGATGAACGAGATTCTGAATCCACCGAGAGCTGTAGACTGTTAGACTGGGCATATGGCCGCAACACAGGGGAACTCACAGGTATAGATAGTTGTGACAGCGCACTGAACGATCATGACCGGAAGAGGTTTGAGGCCAGTCATGGCATTGACAACCTGTCCGATAGCCGACAGCTCACCAACCATGTACAAGAACAAGGTCACAAGAGACATGAAGCTCAGGTACAGCATAGTGATAACACCATATCGCTGGCGAGTCCACTCGGTGAGGACGAAACCCTCAGGGCATCGTCGTCGGATGATAGGGCCAAGGTATCCAAAGATGAGCATGGGCAGCGACGACGCAAGAGCGTAGACGATCATGCCCTGGACACCAGAAATAGTGGCCAACTCAGGGTACGAGAAGAGAATACCGGATCCGAGAGCTACAAGAGTCAGTTGTCATTCCAACGTTGTATGGGGGGCAGGGGATAGATTGGAGCGGCAACACTTTTCCCACGCAAGCATTAACTTGATCGAGTATTTACGGTACAATCTCAGCTTCGTCGTCGCACGCCAGGATCTCCCCAGAAGAACAGACATGTCTGCCATGGCAAACATGCTCCGAGGTTGGATCCGGACGATACGTCAACTCAGCGCCCGTAGTGAGCCGCATCCTCTCCCCCCAGCCTCCCGAGATTGTCTCTCTGGAGCAGGTAGTTCGAGTTTACCCAGCCCAGGTGAGAGTGACCTCAACTGAGCTGGATGGGGTTAGTAGCAACAGAGTCTGAGAGCATCTCAGGAGGGGGGAGGGGGGAGAGAAGGAAGATCTTCTTTCAACGTACGAACCTGCTCGTTCATCTTCTGACTGGTGTATACTCGACCAAGAAGTTTCAGGCTGTAGTCTCTGTGCGAGGTCTCACAGCCCGTGTTCTTCGTTTTTGCTGACATGTTGCAGTTTGCCACCGCTCCGGAGTTGTTGTAGCAAGAGCTCTTTTGGCTCTACTCACCGGAGGCGATGAAGTTGAAGGCCAGAGGGAAGGCTGTTCTTGTGGTTAGTTTGTGTTCTTTGTAGTTTGAGCTGAAAATTGAGATGCTTGTGAGTAGCCTTGTCGCCTCTCACAAACATTTCGTAACTGGGGATTCTCTGACCCGTCTGAGTTCCGTTTCCTGAAAGGAAATCGGCCTTTGGCTGGTTTCTCATCTTCCAGGCAATACCAGTTCCCATCAGTCTGTTCTGATGATTAGCTTCAATACGAAAATGTAAGCGAGATCGGAGACAAACAGGAACAGGGCATAAGTGACGTAGATGACGGCATTAGACGCCGTGTTTGAGGGAAAGCCCATTGTGAGTTGATTTCAAGTTGACGGTTCTTCGTTGATGAGATGCGTTTGTATCTTTCTTCGTATGAAATTGTGAATTGACGTGATGTAAGTGAAGACGAGAGAAGAGAGAGAGCGAGAAAAATTGCAACTCAAGTCAATTAAAAAAAAAGTCGCTCCTGGCTTGGTCTGGTCTGGTCTGGGATGATTAGTTAGCGTAGGAATAGAACCTCCTCCTACACCCGATTCAGTAACGTTCTATCGCCAAATTGACTGCATAGAGGAAATCTGGACCATCAAATGCTTGTCGCTTTTACTACGGAGAGTGGGGGTCACTGTAGCATCCTTGGGCCACTGTAAACCGCATGATCACGGCCCACGATGGATGATCGGCCGACGCTGAATCTACCTGAGGGACATCATATCATATCATGTTATGCCTGTCATTGGATGTGGCAACCTTCGGCCCTTTTCGTCGGTCTCAGTCATATCGTCACATCATCATTCACTCGCTCACTCATTCATTCACAATTGCGTGCATTGGGGACAAGAGTTTGGTGGGACAATGTCCCATTTGTGAGATTGCTCTCTTATTCTCTTTTTTTTGTGCTTTTCTAGGAGGGGTTGACAGTATAAAATCAGGAACAGCAAGGAAAAGAAAAAAAGGAAAGGAAATCGTAAAGTAAACAAATCCGTACATAGACGAGAAAACCACAGAGACACCTCGTCTCTCGTATCTGACCGTGGTTCCGAAAGCAATCCAGTCTCATCCAACCCTGCCGTGTCGAAGATCTGTTCTGTCTAAGGGCATCCAAGCCGATATGATTGGTGTGATGGCTCTTGTAAATCCTGTCGTCTGTCTTTGTGCTGTGGCTCAGGGGAAAGGCATGCCTAGCATGCTGGTGCGGTGATGTGTCTGGCGGGGAATTAAAAAACCTGTGGCTCCTTGCGAATAAAACTTTTCGAGAACCAAAAAAAAGTCGTCGGAGAGCGATCAGGTTCAGCTTTAGAAATGGCGACTGAGCCTAGGCTCCTAGGCTCACATGGATATATAGCTGTGTATAGCACTTGCAAGCTAGGAAATCGAAAGAAAAGATCAGAAAAGTCGAATAAAGGCGCCAAAAAGGTCGAGCTGGAGGATCAGGTTTGGTGGTCGGAGACAAGTTGAACACCAAGAGGCCATATACTATATACCTGGATATAGAAGTTGTGGCAAGGCGTCTGGATATCTAAGAGTTATAGCGACGGTAGCGCTCTGCTTCCTGTCGCTGGCGGCTCTGGTGGTAGGACTCTCTTGGTCCCCGGGGAGTGAAGTTAGAGTGGGGCATACCGCTGTAATTCCCCTGATGATGCATCTGCTGAGGATGCGCGTATGAAGCATGGCGGCGACCTTGGTACTGAGGTCGACCATGGCTTTGGTATGGGTGGTTGCGTGCATCTTGAGACACAGTCATGGGCTCGTGATACTCGCGTTGGTGGTGTCCCTGGAATGGCACCTGAGGTTGCCCTTGGCACATGGGGGCCGTTGGTGGGGGAGGAGGATACTGCACCTGGGATGGCCCTGGGCCTACGTACCCAAGGTGAGATGGGGCTTGGTACATCTGCATGGGTTCATTGAACTGCAGATGGGGATGCTGAGGCACATCCATATAGGTGAAGCCGCCGGGCGCAGCAACGGGAGCCATGGCTGGAGGCGCCACGGGCATATAACCCATGGGAGGCACTAGAGGGGGGTATTGGGGGACCATGTGTGTGTATGGCATGGCGGATTGGTATGTTTGCTGGGCAGCAACTACAAGCTGACCCTCAGAGGCTTGTGCAGCGGCAACGACGACCTGGCCTCCAGTAGGTCGCTCGGTGGCATCACTCTTGCGAGGCTTGCCACTCTTGTCTCGAGGCTCATCAGTCTCGCGAGTAAGTGGCCGGCCGCGCATCATCTCCTCCGAAGCGTATGTACGGTTAAGTTTTGACTGGTACAATTGGTTACGCTTCAGGTTCTCCTCAGACAGATGGCGGCGTCGAATAAGGCAACTCTTGGCCTTCTTCTTCCGCGTGCCCTGCTCGTCTGGCGAGCTTCCACTCTCGCGCCAGGTGCTGTCGTCGCTCTCCGACAGGTCAAGAGGGGCCGAATAGGTCGAGGTGATGAACATCGAAACAGCACGGCGGTGACCCTTGCCGTTGGCCTTGTCTTCAGCAGCAACCTCGCATCGTATCGCAGCAAGCTCTGCAGCAGGCGAAAAGGCCGTAACCCGCGAGTGTCCATCTGCAGCGAGGCGGTCCTTGAAAGCCCGAAGGTTTGGCGGGCTGAACTCTGCAGGAGGAGCAGGTATCTGGAGGGGAATAGGAGATGACCCAGCATGCGATGGCAGGGTGCTTGGTGACGGGGCGAACCGGACTGTGTTGCCAGACTCGTACTTCTCTGGAGACTGGACGGGCGTGATCTCATCCAAGCTAGCAGCTGGAACTGCTAAGGTCGGAACAGGTAGGGGCCTGGGTAGGACATCCTCAGGCCGATGCTGTTGGAGGAAGTCTTCTTCCTCCCGGGACAGACCCACGCTCGAAACAATACGGTGATGATTGCTAGGCGCAGCGGCCGCAGAGACGACACGAGAGTCGAAGCGACGATTATGACGCTTGACGGGGCGCAGAGGCGACGGGTATAGCCGGGCGTCATCCACGCTGCCAGGCATGCGCGAAGACCCGGAGCCAGGAACACGAGAGGGGCCAGGGTTGGGAAAGCGAGAACCAGAGTCAGGAAAGCGGAAACCAGGGTTGGGGTAATGAGGGCCAGAGTCGGGCAGACGAGTGCCGATGGCTTGAGGAACAGCGACAGCTTCAGGGGCGGGCTTGGTTCTCTTTCGCTCGACCCGAAGGATGCAGCCTTCAACTTCTTTGCCATTCTTGTGACAGGTGTTAGCAGACATTCGGTACGCACTCGGATCCCGACGGAAGACAAAGGAAGAACTTACAAATTCTTCCATGGCTCTGTCCGGGACATCAAACTCGTCGTACTCGACGAATGCCCAAGGGTGAGGGACTGGGACAGTTAGTTAGTTGAGACCAAGTTCGTGGACGGGAGTTAACTTACGACCACCGTCCTGGTCAGGGGAGATTCGTAGATCAACAGAACGAATATGACCGCAGATGCCAGCCAGTCGGTAGACCATGGCCTCGTCCGCATAATGAGGTAGCCCGCCGAAGAACACTGAGCGACAGTCTTTTTCGTACATCTCCATGAAGGTTTGATCGTCGGCTGGGCGGTCAGAACGCTTCTGAACCATCTTGGGATCGAAAGCCATGATGACGAATGGCGTGTTAGGGCCGACGTCCTTAAACTATATTAGCTCTACGATTAATAGAGTTGTCTAAGATAGAACTTACCTGGATGACATTGCGTTTGGGGTCAAACCTGGAGTACAGTATACGAAGACTGGGAGGAACAGCGAGCTTTGTCTGAGCATCAGAGTCAAGAATCTCGACCTTCTTAACTGGTCCATAGCGGGAAAAAATAGAATGTGCCTCTCTGGCGAGAACGGGGCGAGTGTCTTTGCGCCAGATAATGTAGGAGACTATTAGAAGTTAGCATCTAGACATAAAAGTTTTGCCAGGAAGACCTACGGTTTCCGCCGCACTTTTCAACTCGGATAGCACGGCCATGGATCAAATCTCCACGGGCCTCGCGCACCGCAACATCGGCGTGTCTGATTTGCTAATGAGAAGTTAGTTCACTGTGTGTCATTGAAAACTGATGACTATCATGGTCAACTCACAGTGTACTGAACAAAGGCCATAGGCATGTGTCTGACTCGATCTCGCTTGATCTTGACGAAGACTGTACCAAACTTTCCAAAGTGCTTGGTAAGAGAAACCCTCAGGGTGAGATCATCAACGTGCTGAGGGAGGCTGGACCCAAGGTCAGTACATGTATTACACGGCGAAGAAACAATTTACTCACTTGGCCACAAAGAGACAGGCATCTCCAGGATAAACAGACTGAGCGTCGAACTCTCGATGGTTGTTGGTAACGGCTCCCGTGTTAGCCGGCATGGTGGCAGTGGGCCGAACTACGTCGTTCACAGGCATGAAGTTGCCAGTGAGCACTGGCTGTGTCTGAAACATCTGGTTGGCCACGACCAGAGCGGCGGGCTCCGCGTTCGCAGGGTAGTCAACGTTGTCTTGGCCAGCTTGATGAGAGTTGTTGTAGGTGTAAGAGCTGTATTCAGGCTGGGTAACATCGTCCTTCTGGACCAGAGATGGCATGCTAAGGACTTCTGTCAGCAAAGTCCAACTTGAACTTGTCCTCAGACCGGTAACTACCTCTTGGAGTTAGAGAGCGGTCGACTAGGAGAGGCTAAACCTTGTTAGTATATCTTCTTGTTCCAGAAATGGCGAAAAGAATGAAAAGTGAAGCTTGTTCGGGAAAAGCCCCTGAGCTGCTTGCTCGCTACCAAACAAGAAAAGGGGTTATCCCCAGAAGTTACCACGACACCACAAGAGTAGCCGCTGAGACTCCAAAAATGGGCAAGTATCTTTTCTCATCGAAGCAGCGAGAAGGGATAGAAGAATTTCAAAGGCATTTGACGCGAGAAGCGAGTGTCTTCTTCTCCAGAGATCAAACCACAAAGACACCGACTTCGCGCCAAAGTACAAGCAAGGCAGAGAGGGGAGAAGAGCAGAAACGCTAGTCTTTCCTCTTGAATTTGTTACAAAAGAGATGAGAGGAGTCCCAGGAGATGGGCCATGTGAGACAAGCGTCTCTCGACAGATTGACGCCAGCGATAAACCAAAGAAGTACGGCTTCGCGCTGGGGAAGGAACGGATGGAAGACAAAACAGAAGACATGAGAGATAATGAGATACTGAGGAAACAAGACTCAAGAAGCCGGTGTGCTTTCCGTGCAAATCAAACGATCTTGCGCTGGGCTCGCAGCCAAGGTAGAACAGGGGGAAGAACCAGATGTGCTGGAAGGAGATACTTACATCTGGGAGAGCCATCGCTCTCCGACTCCTCCTCGTCGCCCGAGTAGTGCATGTTGAGGGCAGAGAAAGCGTTTCGAAGCGTGCGGTCGGTAGACGCAACCGCATGCGGTGTTCGATACTCGAGTGTCGACATGATGGTGACGGCACCAAGGGCGAAGTGAGTTCTGTTGAGTAATAACACTACAAGGTTAGCTTGAAGTTAAGGGAGGATGTTGAAAGGAAGAAGGAAGAAGTGTGAGGAGCGGAGAAGGAGGAGATGGTTTTGATGTCTTGAAAGGGGGGAGTGGGTGGGAACAGTGATTCATGGACCCCGTTCGCAAGTTGGGGTCTGGCAAGTAGCAAGAAGATCACTTGAGTGAAAGTGGAATTTTGGAAGGAAGAAGAAAGAAGTATGGGGAGAGTAGAAGCAGGTGTTGGTTTTGATGTCTTGCGCGGGCGACAGTGAATCATGAATCTTGCCAGTGAAGTGAAGCCTGGCAAGTAGTAACACGATGATGCGAGCTTCAAGTTGATGGAGGGAGGTTGGAAAGAAGAAGGAAAATGTTTAGGAAGAGGTGATGGAGGTGATGGCTTTGTTGTTTTGATGAGGGAGGGGTAACAGTTCATTTACCTCGTCAGCGAAGTGAGGTCCGAGAAGTGACAACAGGATGATGGGAACTTCTTCAAGTTGATACAAGGATGTTGTAAGGGAAAATGTGGATGTTTCGGAAGAAAGATGGTTGTTGTAAGGAAGAAAATTGGTGTTGCAAGGGGGAAAATGGATGTTGTAAGGAGGAAGAAAAACTTGTAGGAAGAGGAAACGGGGATGGTTTGATAAGGGGGCAGCACTTCACTAACCTTGTCGGCGCGTTTTTCTGCGTTTTTGCTTGAATTTGAGAGATGGGATCGATGGTATCACTAGATAGTCTCAAAGTCAGTATTAATCATGGTTTGAAGTCTGTTTTGTTTTGTGTGTTGTGTTGAGTTGAGGTGAAGCTCGTGATCTTCTCGCGAAAGACTCAGGGGACCAAAGGAGCGGCAACGAGTGAAGGTGCAACAAAAAGCGCTAGAACGCGGGAAGACGGTTATTATGATGAGAAAACTTCCAAATATATAGTTATCGTGATCTCAAATCTATTGACTTTGTGGTGTTGAGTTGAGAAGGTGAAAGTTGTGATCCCTCGTGAGAAGATGCGGAGATTGAAGTGAGCGGCCACAACTTAAGGGGCGCCAAGAAGAGGAAGAACGCAGAAGGCTTATAGGAATGATACGATAGACTTCCGCTCAGTAGTTATCGCGAACTGAAGCCTATTTTTTGTTGTGTGTTGAGTTGAGAAGGGGAAGTTCGTGATCTCTTCGCGAGAAGACACAGAGAGCCACGCGAATGGCAATAAATCAAGGGGCAACAACGAGCGCCGGAACTCAAGCTTGCGATGAAGATGATTAGATAGCCTTCAGCTCACTGTTATTGTGATCTGGAGTCCGTTGTGTGCTGTGTGGTAGGCTGAGAAGTGGAAGCTTGTGATCTTCTGGCGAGAAGACACTGAGGGCCACGCGAACGGTGACGAGTGAAGGGGTAACAGAGAACGCTCAAGCTTCCAGCGAAGATGACTACCTAGGCAGCTATCGTCCCCGTGGTATCGTGAAATGAAGCCTCTTGTGTGTTGTGCGGTAGGTTAAGAGGGGAAGATCGTAAGCTTCTGGCAAGAAGATACTAAGGGCTATGCAAACGGTAACGAGTAAAAGGGCAACAACGAGCGCCAGAACTCAAGCTTCCAGAGAAGATTGCCAGGTAGCTGTTGTCCCCGTGTTATCGTGAAATGAAGCCTGTTGTGTGTTGTGTGGCGGTTGAGAAGGGGAAGATCGTGAGCTTCTCGCACGAGAACAGAGGGGACCACACGAACGGCAGCAACGAGCGCTGTAACTCAAGCTAGCGATTACGGTAATGAGGTCTCCCTAAGCTCAGTGTTATTGTGATCTGAAGTCTGTTGTGTGTTGCCTGGTGGTTGAGAAGGGGAAGATCGTGATGTTCTCGGGAGAAGACAGAGTCACTCGAACGGCAACAACGAGCGCCGTAACGTAAGCTGACGATGGCGATAATCAGATAACCTCCAGCTCACTGTTATTGTGATTTGAAGTCTGTTATGTGTTGTGTGGTGGTTGAGAAGGGGGAGCTCGTGATCCCCTCGCGAGAAGACACAGAGAGCTACACGAACGGCAGCAAGTTAAGGAGCAACAACAAGTGCCATAACACGAGAAAACGATGAAGATGATGAGAAAGAGCTTCTCAATATGAGAGCACTTGATATAGGTTGTGATATGCTGGCGTTGAGGAAAGAAAGGGACTTACCGTGTTTGTTGTTGGTGATGCTGATGGAGAAGAGGGGGAGAAGTTGTTGTGAGCTTAGGAGACGAGTGGAGATGCAGTAGAGAGCCAGGCCACGGTGAGTACACCGGCGGTAGCGGTCACGACACGGTGAAACTTGGGATCCAGGGGTAGAGCAAGTTCAGTTGTACAGCCTGTATTTCGACAGCTACGACAGATCGCTCTGGACGCACGAGTAACGAAGATACGATGATGCAAACTATCAGGATATGATCTCTTGTGCCACTAATACATGTTCAAGCTTCATTGAGATGATTTAATGTGTTTGTGAAGCACTTATGGTGGTGCAGCGACATGGTATAGTGCCGGATACCGACGCCGGCGGGAGCGGAGACTTCTCGCATAGGGGCCAACATCAACTGTTACACGAGAACTACATCCCCTGAAGGATGTCTATGGGGCAATAAACCACTGAGGTTTTCGTAGTCTGCATGCCATAGGCCTATCAGAGTTCGTGAGTACTGTAATGCCATAAGCATATCCATATGCCTACTCCGCTGGAACAGTACCTGCGAAGAAACTGTGTTTCTAGCTGACTTGTAATCTTATTATCTTCTTTAATGCATATTGATGAATGAGAAAGCTGCTGGCAAACTACTAAATGTCAAAGAAAAAGTAAGGCAGTAAGACAAAACATTGACAGGGTGCAAGCAGCAAACACTCTTCAACAGTTCTTTGACCTACTGACTTTTTGCTTCAGTATTCCCGTCGAACATTTATAACGCTGATTTTCTTGCCTATTTCAAATGACTTTGCTGATTTCGTAAGGTATCAATCTTGGACCCATACCAGCCATTCTCAGGTCTACAGCGCCGAGTGATAACTCCACCACATTGCACCAACGCAGCATTTTCTACCGTTCCCGTCAAGCTTTACGATACCTCCAAGCTTCTCAAGCATTCTCTATCATATTGAAGCTTCTGTGTGTCTTCATGCTGAAGATCACTCGAGTTGGCGATGGACGACCCTCCCCACCTGGCATGACGTTACACGACATCACCACGGTAAGGATCTCTCTACGGTCTTCTCATGTACCTAGAGACACTCTCGCATTGCTTAGTCGGCTTCTTATAGGTATGGCACTCGCTGTTACCCTTGAAAAGAGACACCGAGAGCTGATGTCGACATCATGCTCTTGAGGCGCTACCGACCGCCGACCGGGAAGAAGTACTAACCGCTTGCACCCCCAAGTCACCTTCAACACATCAGTCTTCCTCGGACAACTACAGACTCTAGATTCAGAAAACACTCATCAAGACTCGGCTACACTCAACCGCTCGTCGCTCCCTAGGGGTTGGGCGGCAATCCCATCGAAAGGCGGCGAGGCTGCCACTTAAGCCCTCTCTAACCATCACCAGCCCTTCCCTGATGTACAGCAAGTTTGAATTCACCGGTAAACAGAGGTATGTATCTCGGAGGTAAGGCGAAGCTCGCCGAGCCTGTCTAGTGTCAACACAAGTGCAAAGAGTGGCCATTGAGTTCGAGGTTGCGGTCGCTCTCAGTGAGAAGGCAACCTAGGCTTCGGTTCCTCCATTGTACAGTTAAGGATAGCTCACATCGTTGAACTGCATTGATCAGTATACTAACGAAGACCCCTATCACAGCAGACTCCAATGGCCTCCTGGCCGTACAGGACGCTTCAGCACAAAGCGACGAGGACTGGCATCCTACAGCGCTCCTGGACCCCCCAGATCCCAGAAGCACTGGAAACGGCGTTTGAATTGTTCTAGAGATGCGGGCAGCAAGATGCCATGAGCACGCCAGTCATCACTCAGGGGCTCAGTCACGTTGAGTTGAGCATGTAAGTTGGAAGACCTGAACTGGATCACCACAAAGACCTCTTATACGGAACGCCTAGAACAGTTACTGACAATTATCCTTCTTCCAGGTGATCCGCTAGAAAACCCTGAGGCAATCGAATTCGCCCAGCAGAAGAGAAGCTCGTAAACTGAAGCCACCCCTAATACATGGCGATATCTCCGCGGAGGCCGTGGTAGGCCTATCATTCCGCCTTCTGTCCCGCAAATGCCGATTTACTAGTTTTTGAGCGCTTGAGAAATATCAGTGGCTACTTCGCCGTCTTTATATCCTGGAGGCCTTTGTTGGCATGATCTAGTCAGGTTGAACAACTTGCGGCTTGAGGGCTCGGATCCCGCAAAGACGGATCTCGAGGCTGGGGTCTTTTACGATGGAGAAAGCCAAATTGTTCCTGCACTTAGTTCTCATCGAATTAGTCGTTGTTCGCAGCTCGATTCAGCGGCGGCTGTTACCAAGACAAGGTGAAATCATGGAGTCTTACAACAACTAGACTCAGGAAGTAGGAGCTTCTCCATGCCCTTTTCTGGATGAAGGGTTGAAAGCAACAAGCACTCCGGTTCTCTTTGGAGGACACCCAAACTTACCGAAAGACCCTACGGGGTTGAAGAAGCCTGAAGAACGTGTCATTTCTTGGGGTAAACTGACAAGGACTTCAAGCTTCCACGCTACAGGACGCACTTACACCAGTGAGGACAGGGCAGTGATACATAGGTTCTCATTCTGTTTCGTACACATTCAGACCTCAAGTAATGATCCAAATTCGATCTTCAGCATGATCCTCTCCTTTCAGAGCTGGAGAACGATTTCCCTTAAGCACTTCAGATCACAATCCACTCGTCATAAGCCACTACTGACCATTGTTCTCAGGGCCTGGCATCCTTTGGTCATTCCTTTTCTGACAACCGAGTCCCAAGTCTAGTCTCGATCCCCCCTCGTCTTCGAATAACACCAATACCGCCTATATCGAATATCTGAAAAAACGATCCAGTTTCCCCCGGCGAACTTCGCGTCATAGGGCTCTCCTCAGAGAGCAAGAAAGCATCAGACCTTGATGTAGGGTGTCAGAGAAGTTAGCAAAGAGTCCCTTGATCTTAAGCTAGATTTACCTAAATATCTTCATCGCTTAGGGTTAAGGTGTTAGTTTTCTTCCCTCCCCTAGACTCTCTAAAGACATTCGGGACATTTCCAACCTTGAGAAAGTCGATGTTCATGAAGAGGGCTAAGAAAAGCTGTGTGTAAGAGAATCTCACCCATCCATAAGCTACCCTTGATTCTCAGGGGCCAACTCGTCTCGGTACCTGCTATCAGAATCACCCAGTCAAGGGTTTCAACATACTCTTCTCAGCTAGCTTCCTCGCTTTTTTCCCCAACTGATGACGAGGTAGCAAGGTTCTCAGGGGCTCCGCCGTAAGACAAAACTTACACACTCAGGCCTCCATTCGCGATACCATCACACGAGGTCTTCAGAGTCTACCAGGGTTTCTATCCCCGGAGGCTTCTAACTCCAGACACTGTTGCTGGGTTCCTCGAATAAGCTAACGGATGCTGATCTGTTGAATTGTTTGAGCCGCCGACAAACTTTAAGAGTTCGCAACAAGAACCAGAATGCAGGGTCGATCCGGAAGCCAGGTCCCATCGAATGGCTTAAGCAAGTTATAGCTATCATTCATCTGACTCACAAGAGCCACTTGGTCATCGAGACTGGGCTACAAATCTTGCAAAGAAATGTAGGCGAAATGCCGGTAAGGCCTAACGCCTACAGAACTGGTTAGTCATTGCCATCCTACGAGTCGCTCAAACATACTGCAATCGAGCCAGGTGTACGTGAAACTTATCGGAATGCCTCGGTGCCAAATGGCGAGCTGTTGAGAGTTATAACAGGAGAAGTTTTCGATGTCAAGGTGCGTTGTCTACCCCTGAGTTGCGACGTTTTCTAACACTTGTCTTATCCAGTTTCAAAGCCTCAACGAACTCAAGCCCCTCATTCATCCTGTGCCCAATTCCAACTCATACGAATCTAGTACTGCTCTACAAGATCCATGTTGCATTTTCCAAATCCCACTCTTCTCCTTTGGAGTCAAACATGATATTTCCTCAGTATGAAGCACACAGGATGCCCATGTCGACAGCTTCGAATACAGAGTCTATAGAGCTATGGCCCATTTAGGATTGAGTGGGAATCACGTACTTTATCCTCCGGCTGCCGCCAATCTCACAGACAACATGGTGTCTCTTCCGTTTCCCAGAGACTTGAGTGGTAGATCAAGTCGTACATAAGATGACCTACATCTGGTCAAGGGGGTATCATTCATTCCTTTCGGATCTTTTTGCAAAGCATGTTACTGTAACAAGCCGTATAAATCAGTCAGCATCTAATCAGGATACAGGCTTCATTGACAGCCAAATTGGCCCTAGGGAACCACGATTTGGAAGAATGGAGGCGGCTCAACTGTGTGCATGTAAGTCGCAGAGCCATTCGACGGATATTGTCTTGAGCCTTGCTCGCCAAAACAGATGTGAAGATTCTGAAGATGAGTGAACCAAGAACTGTTGGTTTCCTTCGAGTTCACTGCCTTTGATTCTCACAACCTTTAGAACTATTCAGCCGTGCTGACTTTAAATGCACAGGTGTTATTTCCCTTTCTTCCGAGACCGATACCGATACAACGCCCGCGCGGTTTACCTCCAGCTCTCTCCGAGACTCAATGAGAGTGGTCATTTAAAGAATCGACGTTGCAGTCTTGCCGAATATCCAACCACCGAGAATCGCATATCCGTCGTGCCTTATACTTTAACCCCAGCGACTTGCTCAAGCGATTCACCATATTCCCCGCCCGCCCTACGAGAACACGTCAGAGCAGGCCAATCTCAGTCGAAGCCTCGTCTCGGGCTCATTAAATGCCTCTGGAGTCCTTTGCACCGAGATTCGGTCTCGGGCGCCCTTTGTAGGCGTTGCCGTTGCTTCGAGAACTGGGAGTACTCGATGAGAGATACAACCCACGCCGTCTACGAATTCTCCTCCAAGTCAGCGGTGGTCAATCCTCTGAGAGCTCATGGTTGTGTTTCCGCCTATGTCAAGGCTCCAGCGATGTTCTTATCTCTGCACGCTGTGATATTTCGTTGGCGTTGCAAGTTCAAGCGCATGGATGGTGCCAGAGACCAGAGACGATTCAGCTACACTTCAAGACGCAAATGCGGGGAATTCCAGACGAGTCAGCCTCTACGTGGAAGAAATGCTCAAATCAAGGATGATGAGAATACGAGGTGCCGTTACTTTGTCGCCCTTGTTCCTAATTACCTACCTAGTATAAGTGAGAACGTTCATAGCAGCACTAATAAGCATCAACGAAACCAGCACCGTTACGATCTATCAATTTATTGTGAATGGCATCGCCCTTTCTGTTTTGTATAATTCAGCTAATGAAGGCCAAGGAAGTTTGGTTATAATTGACATTGCATGTTGATTTTCCAGGGTAAGCATCGGATCCTGAGGTGAGGCAATCATCAAGCGGAAGCATCCAGAAATTCCAAGGGCAACCAACCGGCAACGTATGAAAAAAGTCTTTCTACAGTTACCTGGAAGCACCGCTGGTTCCATGCTCTTCCTCATCAGTCATATGTTCAGAATGCAAAAAGACTAAAACACTCTGACCAAGGGACAAAAAGAAAGTGACCAGTCAGAGAGACTAGTTACAAGGTTCCCCATAGTCATCACAGGGTAGCCTGTCTATATTTCTGGTCGAATTTCAAGACTTCGCTGGCATCGGAGCCTGCATTGGATCTAAGCTGGAGTGACAAATATCATGACCGCTATCCCGAGTGATGAAAGCAACTGATCAAACGGCCACCCAGTCTGCACTAAGTTGACCCAAAGCTTATCACTTTTAAAATAGAGATCCTCAGGCTTCTTGCTCGTTGCGCCTTGAGGAGTGAGAGGCATTCATTTTCTCGTGTAAGTACGGGACCGGCACGAACTCGGTGATTAACTACCTGAGGATATCGCGCTTGGTAATGGATATATAATAGCGAGTGTCAATTCATCATCAGTTTCCACTTTAAGGAATGTGATGACAAAAGAGAGGTCAATGCCACCAGATACGAAGCAAGGGAGATGCGATGGACTGAATGGACCTGGAAACTTGGAAGAGGTCACAAGAGCAGAAATAATGCATGTAAGGAACTCGCCGTCGCTTCCAGCTTTTGAGCTGTCCTGTCCCGCCCGTTGTGGCAATGGAAATGCACGAGGTCATGAATGAGCTGCATGCTCTTTATGGTGCGTGGGTCAAGGACCGGGCTACCAGGGTAGCAGTGATGATAGCATCGATATCCGTGATGTGATATTAGACTAGACTAGACGATTGAGCCGAGGCATGAGAAAGACTACCTAGAAAGGGTCTCTTGAGGGCGTTTGAAGCTAAGAGATTGACAGCTGCCTAGAACTTTCTGGCGCTTAACCCGCGGCAATGGTAAAGATGAGACTGAGACCATCTTGGCTGAATGGAAACAGTGACACAATCGAATGGATAGAAGCCTTCGATTCCAGGGCAGGGCGGCTTCTTCCATTGGATCTTCCCCACAGCGGGCACCCCTCCATCAGATTTAGGCCCCCTCCCTGCCCTGGAGCCCAGAATCCAGATGCCAGAACAGTCAGTCGGCATCCAATCAACGTTGCCCGACGCTAATCGCGGATGCCTTACGCGGGTCTTGTCTTTCCAATTCTTTAGGTTTGTTGCTGCAGGGCGCGGATCATGGGAGTGCTTGCCCGGACTTCAGATACAGGGGCGCTTGGTCCTTGGGCCGCGCTTTCCATTCATTAATTCACATTCTGCGACAGCCAAGCAGGTTCGTGCGTACGACCTTACATGCAACTTCCCTACCCCGTACTCGGGCTGGAAATGAAAGGGAAGGCAAGAGGGAAAAATCAAATTAGGTACCTACCTATCTTGAGGCTTCTCGGCCATTAGGGAGGCTCAGCCTCATTCGCGATCCGTCCCGTCTTTGTCTTGATTCTTCTACTTCTTATCCCCTTGCTTGCTTGTCTCACTCAAAATTCATCTGTGACGCATTCACTTGTGACATCCTTCATTCTTCATCCATCATCGGCCCTTAAACTCTCCTTTCACAAGCGCACACTCGTTACTCTGCGGCAACATTCAGTTCAACCTGTCACAGAGATAAGTACCTGGTCAATTCCGGCGGGACAAACAAAGAGAAATCGGCCAAATCACAGTAGCCCAATGGACAAGTCTCAAAGCCAACCAGTCACACTTGCACCAGATCCAGACGTCAAATCCAGGGACCAACCAATGGATCACATCTTCAAGGCCGTAGCGTGGTCTGAGGAAGAAGATGAACGGCAGCAGAACGAGAGGCGCCTGTAAGTTCTTGCTCTGACTCCTTCTTGAACTTGTCTAACATCAAGCTCAGATCCCTCGAGGCGCAGGGGCAAGACAAAGTCACCCGTTGGATGAGAGACGGACTACAGTACGGGTAACCCCATCTCTCATGCGTCTCTGCTCATCTTGTTCATTCTCTGATGATCCCCAGGGTTCTCTATTGCGATCTTCTGCCAGACATCTCCAGCGTAGTACGCCCAGTTGACAAGTCCGGCAGTTACATGGACATGCTGCCATGGTGGAACCCGGATTATGAGTCTAGTGCAACTCTAACAACTACCGAGAGAGCTACCCCGATTCCCCAGGTCAAGACTCAATTGTCTCCTGATGAGCAACATACCGACGACATCAAACGCGAGAAGGCGTTCCATGATCTTCTGACCAAGGCTGGGGGACGCCCCTGGTACTCCAGGGAGCTCATCGACAAAGTCGCCCAGAATCCAGAACACCACGCCGAGCTTCTTGGGTACTGGAAACAAGACACTACCGGATCGGGGAAGCAAGAATGGATGGTGTTTGAACGCCAGCTGGAAAGGTGGAACCAGTTTTGCCGTTATCAGCTGAGAGTGAGACGAAACCGGGATACATTTGACGAATACCTGGCGCGATGTACCAAGTGCCTCTCTAAGCAGTCTCTCACCACGCCACTTCATATGAGACCAGATCCAGCAGACCAGGATCCATTGTCACAATGGCTTGAGTATCTATGCTTCGAGGTGTCAGATCGCAAAAAGTACTCGTGGTATAAGCGCTATAACCAGCAGTATGAAAGCGCCTGGCAGACACTCGTTGACTCCAAGTTGTTGGAATTGCACGAAGACCGAGGCCAGATTGAAGCAGCAGAATATACGCCAGCATCAGATGGTGAAAGGACCAAACTAAGACAAGCCGTCGAGGTGGCTAGTTCAAACGTCTTATTAGCGGAGCGGGATCTGTTGGACCCAAGTGTCAGGGGGCCCGTAGCACAACGGAAACTCTTCGAGACTCAAGCCAAGCTTGACTCTGCAATTGAAGCCTTCGATCATTTCCAACGTCGGGGGGATGCGATCAAGGCGTTTCTCCAGACCACCTCTGCCTATCGTGAGGCAAGGCGTGGAGCTCTGCGACACCAAATGCTTTTACGATGGATGCGGCAACAAGTCCCGCTGATAGAGGAGGATCTTGGCCTACCGCCTTCGACAGGACATTCGGTTGTGGATGCCGAGATGCTTTTGGAGACGGATAGCGACGAGAGCGACGACCAGAAACTGAGTATCGACTCTTCTCGCACCGAGTTGATGGACACACTTGCCGGGTTGCAACGAAATGAAAGCAAAAAGCGTCTCGCGAGTATTTCGGCAGAAGTTAGTCGGACCAACAGCAATGACCTCCCGAAGCGCTCGAAACATGTGAGCAATGATGAAACCGAGGCGAGATAACAATAGGAGACGGTGGACCACGTTTATGTTTTCATGGAAATCTCTTTTACAGTATTTGCTGACGGTTTCGCCTATCTATGATGGCTTTGAGGACGAGTTAGGAATCTACTTGGATGTACGTGGCACGGTGGATCTGTAAGAGCAGGAAAACGGAGTCTGGTCAAGCTTATAAGACGAAGCTACAGTAACCTTGAGGGATATGTGAAGTTCATTGGCGATTTATCAAGATAATCCTAAATATTTACATGCATGCATGCTCCAGAATTCCTTATCTTGTGATACAGCTTATGAATTTGGTGGTCGTCAATGAAAATGAATAATCTTGATATCCATGCAGCCATGCTTTTGCCATGGTCAACCCTAACCCATGGATGGGGTGTGATCCAGCGTCCAGAGTTCCACTAGCCACGTCGAAAAGGCTAGAAAGGGTCCTGTGTTCCCACTTCCAGTGGTTGGCGCATTTTAACCCCCACGACCCCTGTCGGTTCAATCTGAATTGTGCAGGCATTGGACTCTCCCTTGACGCCATCACCAACAGCTGCCTTACCAAGGCTGCCCCCCCTTGCGTCGACCTGATTTCTCTCCCCCCTCCTTTTCTTGAGTTATTCTTGGGCTTGGCTTCTGTGATTTTAGTTCCCACACAATTGATCGCGAATTGCTTCAGATGGCCTGAACGATCGATGTGAGATGGCCAATCCCCCCCCCGTTCGTCGGGGCTCTTCTACAGGCCATCTACCTTTACCTCCACAACCGCTTGCGCCCGTGACCTCGACGCCTAGCAAACCTCCGCCACGACCGCACACGACCAAGACAGCTCCTCCCGAGATCGATAGTCCCGTGCATCCGTCTCTTCTTCAACCCCGTGTCGCCGTCGTTCTCAATGTCCCCAAGCCATGGCACCCGTGGCTTTTTGCCCTGCGGCTCTTCTCTATTCTACCGGCGTTGTGGTGGGGATTGCCTTCTGCGCTTCAGCTACTGTTGCGCGTCTTGCCAGGACCAGAGATTGTAGTTGTTGTGCCTTCAACGACAGGAGGATCTGTGGCTATGAGTGTCGAGGCAGATGCGCGATACGCCCTGACTGAGACTGGGCTCGCGACTATATGGGTGCGTTGGGAGATTCCTCGAGGAGATCCAAGGCCAAAAAGTGCTGTGCTGATATGATATGCTGGACGTTAGTGTTTTGCTTCGGGATATTTATCATTCTTCTTCACGGACTGTCTGATGTCCAGATGGTAGGTTATGCCGTACCTAGTCTCTGCTGTGACATGCTCGCTGTACAACACCATCCATATTAACTAGTTCACAGGCTCATCAATTATACCCCACAAGCGACCATGGTTCGCCTACTCACAACCAACTTTTGTAACGCATATCTCACTGCGTTTGTGCTCTCTTTCACGGGTGGTTTCCAAGACCCTCGTCTCCTCCTCCCAGGCTGGGTTGGCATAGCCACTGTACGTCTTCCCCGCACACGCGACACACGGCACTCACCGCAACCAAGGTCTGCTATGCTACTTCTGCTAACAAACTACGCCGCAGACTCTTACCATGATGTATCACGTCACTCACCAAAAGATCAACATTCGCAAGGAGACGTCTACCTCCATCAACGTCTTCTCCATAGCTTGTTCCATCACTATGGTGACTCTGCTGGTACACCTTCATCAGTCCACACCTGACTACCCCCAGATGCCAATTGTAGCTTCTGGTCGGCGCGCCTTTGATGAAGCATCGCGCGTTATCACTCAGATCAGGGGAAGCATCGAGCAGCATGAGGACCTGTAGAACTTCTCGGCTGTCTTCAGGCAAATGTAATGCCTCTCTGTATCTGTACACGCACAAAGAAGCAGGCGAACCATTGTTATGTTCCTTTACAAATGACTTTCAGCGACTCTTTAGTTTCTCTCTGAACTCTGATATCCCCGCCCACGCTAGGGCTGAACATGTCTGATTATTCTGCTAAGCTGTAAAACTCATGTACACAATTATACAATTATCTATGAATCCCAAGCAGCGTGCAGTTTCGGAGCCTGGGTTTTGATTAGCACGACTCCAGTTGCTGTGCCTTACGAGTGGGACCTGACGTCAAACTACCACCACAACTAGGATTGAAACAATTTCACATCAATTTTTAGCATAAATATTCGGAATCGACTTTGTATTTGCCTGAGACTACTGCGGGGCTTGCCCATGTAGACATATCTGACTAACGAGTGACTGACAAGCCATGTTGGAGTAACAAGTGCTTTGCCCGTAGCCTCGTCTTCGTGCACGTGAGCAAGATGAATGCCGAAAAGCTGTCATCCACCTGCTGCAGAACGCGCAGCATAAGAATAAATACTCTTCCAAAAAAGCCACCAGGAGTAAATCTCGCCCTGAGTGGATGCCCGTCATCCTAGAGTAATCGGAGCCGAGCCTCGGTGTGTCTGTTGCGAGAGCAAGAGTACACGTCCGGAAAAGGCACAAGCCGGAGAGGCCATGCGTCCCTGTCCATCTACGTCAAGACGCCCGGGAACGGCGACTGACAGGACGACGGGGCATGCAGGGCTTTAGAAACCGTGGACCTTAATGGTCTTGGCATCTAGCTCGAGGCCTTCCTTCTTGTCGATGAGAAATTCCTGAACATCTTTGCGCTGATCACCCTGGAGCTGAATCACCTCTCCCATCTCGGAGTCGTTGACGATAGTGCCATTGCAGGCTGGGTCGCATTAGCTTCGTAATCGACGGCGACGGAGTGTGGAGCTTACCAAACTTCTTCTTGATGACCTTAAGAATCTTCTTCTGGTCAAATTTCTTGGGGAGACCCTGAACAGTTGTCAAAGTCTTACGTCCATTACGCTCTGGAGCTATGTTAGCATTGTCCGTGAAAAAAATGTCACCTAGAGCCATCTAAAGCCATATGTAGCATGGGTTCATTCAGTCACACAGAAATCTCACGTGAGGTTACGGTGTGATGTGATTATTGATGCGCCCGTGGCTAGTGTGGCTCGAGGAGAAGGTGACTTACGCTGAATGCGTATATGGATGTAATTCTGCGTCTGCTTGGTTTCTCCGGTGTCCTCGTCGGCTTCGGCGAAGGGGTCTAATGTCGCGATGGTCAGCAATGTTGTTCCTCAGAATCGTTTTCTTGTGATGGGATACGGAGACGAGTGGAGATTCAAAATGTGGCTTGTCGGGCAACAAATGCAGGTACGGAAGGACGAGACAACAGGCCCATGTCCGATAGTCGAGACGAACCACGCAGATGAATACCAAAACCGGAAAGAGAAGGCTTCTCGAGGGTAGCAAAGGGACTCACCGTAGGTCTTGAGATTTTCGATGGACATAAACTCGGAGGTACTGGGGTTACCTTGGGAAATGGGTTTTGTAAAGGGGAAGAGGATGTTTTCAGCGACCGCTGGCAATATAGCGCCTCGCTGTGTAGATATCGAGTAGTGTGTGTAAGCGATGAGTATGTCTAGCGACGAGGTTTGCGAGGCTGCAAAGTCTTGGGAGTTTGCGGGTATTTGTGTTGGTGACGTTGTTAGGGAGAAGAAAGAGTCGGGAGAGTTTGGTAGAAGCGGGAGGGGCAAAGATGAGTAAGTGGGCTTTAGGCTTTGGTGGGAGGTGGGAGGCAGGAGGCAGCACGGCGTGCTAGCTGATTGGCTCGTGTGTTGGCCTAAGCCTTCAGGCAGAAAGCCTTGTGAGATAAATTCGGTGAGCATCCACTGTCATCTATAATGGGGCTCTGAATCAGAGCCCGTCACTGGGCGGAAACACAATAGCTGGAAGTTGAAAATCATTGATAGCGCCCGTACAAAGAATTTACATAATCTAGGTAGACTTCACTTTTGTTTCCAGAGGCGTACCTATTTTCAGGAGTCAATTCATTCTGCAGAAGTTGAAAACCGATGAGATATTTTGATCATTGGTGCAAAAGCAGTCATTCGCCTTGCAAGGCCTTGGAAGGTTCACTTGAGCAGTGATATTGGTCAAGATCGACGGAGTAGCATACCGCGCGTTCCAGCCAATCCACGGCCAGCCAGCCACTCTCTTTATTTCGGGAAGCCCGTTGAAAGCGGAAAATGCCTTGCTCTTGAACCCAGCAAGACTTCTTTCAATCGCATTCAATCAAGTCGAGACCTGTCGTTGAGTCAAAGCTCAACGGGTACCTTATGACATCCGCTTTTCGGCACATATCATGAGAAGGTAGCATTTGTCGGGCATTTTGTTGACTGTTGGATGCACTGCGGCTTGTGCCTTCGTACACATTGTGATATGATATCTGTGACCCATCCTCCAGTGCAGTCCGTGTTCAACTGAAAAGTGCGGTGTTGTGTTGTATTGCATTGTATTGCGTTGCGTTGAGGCCAGTGGTGGTCTAATAGAAGTTGTTGGCTGTCACTATTGCTGCAAGTCACACGGCCTTCGCTTGTGACGCGCAGGACCATATCCTGACATCCGAAAAGCTAAGGTAGTGTTGCAATACCTTGGCCTCGGGGAGCAAGAAAACACCGGACCTAGATATAGGGTGTCAAAATAAACTTAGCAAAGAACCCCCTAAGCTTAGGCTAGATTTACCTAAATATTTTTATTGATTAGGGTCAAGGGCCTGTGTTTTCTTTCCTCCCCTAGCTTGGGTTGGATTGATGTGATGAGTGACTCTTGTCAATGCAACATGTGGTTGGAGGGAGGCAACTCAGATAAGAGCCAGCCCTTCAAAGCTAGACACCGCCACTTACCCTGAACTTCCTGATTCGTTCAGTTATTTCAGTGACTTATGCGCAAGCACAGTCATAAGTTAAGTCCCGTTTGTAATGCAAACAATTACAACAGTGCAGAGAAATGGACGAGATCAGGCAGGATTCTGGTTTTCCAAGCTGGAAAGGATCCATCGGAAAAGCACCTGCCATAATCAGGCCAGGGGTGGTGAATGTTACAGATCTTATTATTAGCAGCGATGTTAGCACGGAAGGCTCCTTCCGGGCCGCTCTGTTATAGACAACCTAAAAGTATGCGGGAGCGAGGGGAGAGCGAAACAGTAAGGTAGCTGCCAAATCGAGGGACTTTCGTAAACCAAGGTAACCACCAAGGCAGCCAGCCTACCTACATCAGATCACCATAATGTGCTGTACAGACTGACATGGAATGCATTAACCCTTCCACCTTGTTTCATGTCTATTACCCTTGACCGTGGCATTGCTTCTCCCACGCAAGTTTGGGTCGAGCCCTAGTATCCCACTTCCACGTCAGTAATCGGTGCCACTTTTGCCTCGTTTCTCCCAAGACCGAAAGCACCTGTTTCTGATCCATACTAGACCATTTCGTCATCATCAGTGGCTGTTTCGCCCAGCTCTTGGACCCTAGATCGAACCATCTCACTTCGCTTCTCGGAACCGAGCGTACTAGTCAGGGCTTCAGCTGTCTAGATCCTGGGGCACAGCTAGCCCTATTCGGAGGAAGTCTTCAATACTGCTCGCATCATTTGTGATCTCCACGACCACCCGTCACTACCTATCACAGGGGCCATCAACCCCGGACCAAATCCGATTAAGTGCGTCCCAACGGCGGTGATCACCGTAGGGTCGAGGTAACGCTCCGAACGCACCTTACGGCTGTTGGCACCAGACAGTGTCTGACCACTTTTCAGCAGCCTGCATCCTCGGACCTGTCGGCCACCCTTCCGTTTCTGGATTTCGTCTGAGTATGGAGTTTCAAAAGAAGGCACCTTTTGAGCCCGAGGAGTATCCTCCGGGATCGCCGCCCGTAATCCGCGAACGTTGCGGCGAAGTTACCTGGTTACCTATGTGCCGCCACACATGCACGTTTGAGACTCAGCATTTCGACGAGATTATGCTCAACCTTGTCGAGAACCCAAACCTCAACTCCAAGTGGTTGTTTCGTGCAGATGTTCTCTTCGATGATGACTGTCAGAACCCTGCCCCTGAAGCTGACGGTGCCATCCAAAGCCACCCTCAGGCTCTCGACTTCCAAGGATTCAGCCGGCAAAGAACCATTGTGCGCCGATTGATACCCCGAAACACACTTCGCGATGCTCCATTAGACCAGACCTGCTCCTTCCATCACACAAATAGTCATGAGGATGAAGAAGCTGACGGGGAAGCCACTCTGTCAAGATCACTGGTTGTGTATATACCACATACCTCCTCTGCTGCAGACCTACCCTTCTATCACCCAAAGGTCAAGGGTATCAGCCAGCTTCATGAATGGGATGTAGCCACCAACACAGGCACCATCTCCGTTCACTTTGCACTCTTTGAACCTGAGACAGGCGAGGAAGAGGTCGACCAAGTCAAACTGGGGAGGATAGCTTACCATCTTCTCCAGACCATCCACAAGCATGGTCACAGCACCGCTCGAGGCTACGTCAAAAGGGTTCATCACGATGTCATTGTACCCCGAGAGAGGTTTCAGGATAGGTACTCTGAACTAAAAAACAAATACGCCAGAACTCTCGTCAAGTCCTGGCTTGAGACTACAGATCCCACAAAACATGTGTTTGAAGATCTAGGTATCGCAGCATTTCTGATTGAGCTGTGGAAGGAGATGTACCACAATAGGGACTTTCCAGGATTTGTGGACATCGGCTGCGGAAATGGGTTGCTGGTTCATATCCTCAGGATGGAAGGATATGCTGGTTGGGGTTTTGATGCCCGCGAGCGTAAGTCTTGGTCTCAGTACAACTCACCATTCGCGGGATCACCCTCTGGGAACTCCCTCCAGAGGTTGCTCTTACTTCCCAGTATCATTCCCAGAGAGGCAGCGAGCGATGGCACTAGAGTAGTCAACTATGAGGACATTCACGATGGTCTCTTTCCTCAAGGCACATTCATTATATCTAACCACGCCGACGAGCTGACACCTTGGACTCCAATTCTTACCGCCATATCTCAATGTCCGTTCATCATGATACCATGCTGCAGTCACAATCTCACAGGAGACAGATGGCGGGCACCTCCGCCTCGAGACAAGACCAAGTCAAAAAGCATGTTTGCATCTTTAGTCGACTGGGTTACGCAGATAGCGGAAGATTGCGGGTGGAACGTTGAGACGGAGATGTTGAGGATACCAAGCACTCGAAACACAGGCTTGGTCGGCCGAGAAAACACAAGGAAGGTTGAAGAGGTCGATATACACGGGATACTGCAGAAGTACGGAGGAGTACAAGGGTATTACGACAATGTTGTTAAGCTACTCAAAGCATCCCCCAGAGGACACTGAGCACACCAACTTGAACACACACTTGCCCGCGCCACCTCAGTCAAAGTTGCTCGTGGTTTGTCAAACAGCAAATGAACTAGATATACAAACGCACATCCATGCCGTACATATTGCGATTGGGGCTAGAAGGGCGCAGCAGATGATCGTCTAGCCGATCGACTAAGTAGCTCCCACCTTCGGAATATTCGTTCTCGATATATCGGTACTCCAGACTGTCTGTGTCCACGGCCTTCAATAGCTGCACGACCCTGTGTATATCGGGGATTGGTGATACGAAAGCTGGTTGTCCAATGCTTCCCACACAGTATCACTCTCGTCATACAGCCGAGGCAAATTGTCCGCATTGGTCCAAGAATGTGACAGTTTCGTTTGCTCATGCATGAGTACTGCAGCCGCTTCTTGATGTGGAATCCACGCAAGCCATGTTATGGAAGTATTACACACACAAGCCTGGGACAAATGTGCTGGACAAATAAAATTGAGCTATCATTTTGCGATCGCCATCCGGTTCCATGACCTTCATCCTCGCTTAGACGCTCGGCTCTGCTACCGTGCGGGATGTTTCGATGAGAGTTTGCGAGGGTCGTTAGTGTTTCGATCTTGTTTGCCTATAGCATGGATTGATTAGTGCGATCGAGCGAGAACGGGACAGCCTCAAACGAAAGGCCGGGCTTTGTCTATCTTGGAGCCTGAATGTATCCATCCCCCTCTTCTTCATCTCAAATTTGGACGCGGCGCCAGCTCGACCCATTTTCAACGGTTGGCTGCAGCTCCCTTCCCGCTGATCAGCGGTTATGCATCATGAACCGGGATGTTATAGTAGCAAACATCATAACACCCTGGTCGCGTTGTTGGACGAATGACAGCAAACGGATTTTCCTTGCACTAACGTTGATGTTAGAAATGTCCTCCTGCAGGTAGCCGTTCGCCAAGCGACACTCCCTTATTTCCACCGAAGTTTTGAGACACCTTGGGTGACGGCACAAGGGTCCGGGCTGCTGGAGCGTGGAATGAGCGAATGATGAACTAATGCAATGCAATGCAATGCTTATCGAGGGACCTCTTCAGGCCGGATGCACTGTATAAGGGTGGTATACAGGCCGGG